TCTCTTCTTTTGGAGTAGATCACCAGTGTTGATTCTTTCCAGATAGGCTTCCCAACAAAAACTACCAACCCTAGGAGGTATTGCTCTGCACCAAACCTCATCAACAGGAAAAGGGGGGAAGGTAGGACTGGTGGACTGACTTAAGACTTTGAAGAAAGAAACACAAGAAAATATGTCGTTGGGGGTAGGTGTCCAAATTCTAGAATCCGCCCTAGTGGGGTCTAAGATAGTGTCCAAATTCTAGACAATGTTATCTAGAATCCGCCCTAGTGCAATGGCATCTCAGGGTGCATGAGAATGTAGGATCAAGTCTGAGGGCAGCCACTTTGTACAAAAGGAAAAAAAAAATGCCAAAGGTTAGGTCCATATCAAGTCCACCTCTCCCAAATGGCCTATATACATGCATACAAAAACAAACTTTGGGTCTATTTTTCTGTTCATCCAAGCAGACAAACAGAGAAAGAGAGATTGGATCAGAAACATTATCTGATTCAGCAGAATAACCTGAAATATTGGAGATTTACCGGTAAGCGAATTGTCCTGGACTGGTCTGAGAGAGACTTCCGAACTGCCTGTTTAATCCACCAGTGTGCATAGGTTGAGAATTTGAAGCCCTTTGAAGCATCAAACTTCTCAGCACCCTTTACAAGACCACGACATCCTTCCTGTGAAAGATTATTATCCATAAGAATTGAATCAAATTCACATAAGCCCTGCAATTTAACCCATTTAAACTGCAATAGCCAGATACAGCAAGGACATAGCTGAACACAGTGTCAGACATGGAATTCACACTGTAAAAAGGAAGTGTCCAACATAAGACAACACATTGTGCAGATAACTGGGCAACATAACATTTAGAAATATAAAAGGGAAAAACTACCTGAACAAGATCCTGGAGGTTCATCCCTGCTCCTTGATAATTTTTTGCAATAGAAATAACAAGCCGAATGTTGCTCTTAATCATTTTGTCTTTGCAAAGAATGCCATAGTTTAAGCGCTTTCTCAGGGTCTTCTGATCAACCCCAGCTGCAGCTGCCCATTGAGCAAAAGTGGGTTGACCACCACATCGTTCTGCAAGCTCTTCATGGAGCTTTTCTAGCTTCAACAGGTCCTGCATCATAAACATCAAAGAACACCTCATTAGTCAGATAAGTCAATTGAAAACCCTCAAAAGAAACATCAAATAGAAATATTCTGTTAAAAAACAAACACTTTTCAGAAAGTTCAGGAGATAGATATGATTCAGGATGTTGCTGAGAGGCCAACTAAACTAAAGAAGAAAGGAACTATTGAAGCTACCAACTTATTTTCCTAAAGATTTTAAGAGAAAATTATAACATATTGGAGAAATGTAACTATTGAATAAGAGGACTTACTAAAGAAGGTATGGGCAACTTTCTGTAAAATGCATTATCAAATAATCAATGTCATTAAACCTGGAATGGGCATCAAGCCATTGGCTCTGACAGGTTGCAGTCTAAATGGTTATGAAAAAAATGAAATCCATTAGACACAAAAATAACAATTATGATGAAGATGAATTTCGATGGCTTTAGTTTGGGCAATCCTGGAAATTATGGGATAGGAGGGCTCTTTAGAAAACTTCAATGGAGATTTAATGCCTATATTCTCAGAACCTATTGAGTATGAGACTTCACAAGGGCAGAACTTCTATCAGCTTGGTATGGGTTAAGAGTCAAGATTGGCCAGTTCTCTCCAATACAATAACATAGTGGTGGAGGGTGACTCTAAAGTAGTGGTTGGCAGGCACAAAAATAAAACTATGGGGAATTGAAAGTACAGATATTTGTTGAGGAAGTACAGAAGACAGAAACTGAGTTAAACAGCATTTTTTGTTGGACTTCGGGTCTTCCAACAGCATGGCAGATGCTTTTGGCAAGACTAGTAAAGAGGGAGCAATTGTACTATAGTGTGAATTAGAAGAGGGAACTCATTGTAACATTTTAATAGCAAAGAACACTTCATATGTAGTAAGTAGCTTATGCTAGCCTACAACAAGGGTTCATATCACAATTTCTGTAATTTATTCTTTAAATCTGTTAGTGTCGACTATACAGGGGAAAATTAGTCTTTTTGTTTATGTTTAGTATGAGGTGTAATGTTGAGTTAAGTGATGTGTCTCATACTTAAGTAGGGGAACAAGAATCGATTTGTGTTTAATAGAAAACTATAAATATAACCTGGCCGACTAGAGAGGTGAGATTTTTCTCTCTAGTTCGAACGAGTCTTTCTTTCTTCTCTCCTTCTCTTCACTCTTCTCCTCTCTTCCTCTCTTCTTTCCTCTTTCTATCTTTCCTTTCTCTTGTATTCTGAAACTAGTGGATATACAGATCTGAACTTTAGCATGGTGTCAGAGCTAGGTTAAATCAGTTCAGATCTGTATAGTTTTCTGTGCACCCTAGTTTAGTATTTTGCAGATTTCTCTTAGGTTTCTTGGAGTTTGACAAAAAGGCTGAAAAGGAGTGGTCGGTTTTTTCCTTCTGGAGGTTTTAATGCCTCTGGTTGATTGTGGTGTGGTGGTTTCAGGTGGCTGGTAGGAAACCCTCTAATCGATGGACCGAAGAGGGCTGCTACAGTAGTTTCATGGTCTATCTTCAGATGTGTGGTTCAGATAGGTGGGTTGAAGATCTAGTATCAGATGTGTGGTGTGGGTGTGATGCTTTTGTGTGTGATGTTTATCTGTGGTGCCGAAAGTAGAGAACAGTGGTGATTACAATTGCTGAAACCTGTGATAGTGAATGTTTCAGCAATGGTCAGCCATAGGAATGAAATACTGGTGATCGTTCAGCTATAGGAGTGCAGTGTGGTGATTGTTGGTAAGGTAGGGTAACATATTAGTGTGAAAAAACAAATTATGGCAGCTATGGGAGACAGTAGTAAACACAAGTCTGTTATGATTCCCCCTGATTACTTGAATGTGCAAATGACCTCCATCAAACTGAATGGAGAGAATTACATGCCTTGGGCCAAATCTGTTGAAGTGTTTCTCAGAGCTAAGAAGAAAGTAAAGCATGTGAGAGAAGACAAACCCCTAGTTGACTCTCAGGAGTATAGTGATTGGGAACAAGAAGATGCATAGATTATGACTTGGTTATGGAACGACATGGAACCTAAGATTAGTGTGAACTTCATGTTCTTAGACACAGTCAAGGAGATTTGGGATCATGCAAAGAAGCTTTACACAGGGTAGGACAATACCACTAGAGTATACTAGCTCTATCAAGAGTATTTTAATTTGTAGCAGGGTAATCAAAGTCTTAAGGAGTACTATGCTAGTCTGAGGAATCCAAGGAATGAGTTGAATGGGTATCACCCCCTTACATTTGATGTCAAAATTCAGCAACAACAAAGAGAGCAGCTTGATGTAACCAGATTTTTAGTGGGATTGAAGTCTGAATATGAACCGGTGAGAGCACAGATACTAGGTGGGTCTGCCCTCCCTTCCCTTGAAGAGGTGTTTGCCCGTCTCCGGAGGATTTCCGTTGGACCTCCAGAGAACCCCACCATATCAGATAGGTTTGCTTTTGCATTGACAAGAGGGGGAGGTCGTGGTAGTAGAGGAGTAACTCATTAGGTTCCGCCAAGCCGTGGTGGTAGTGGTGGACAATACAGTTGTGATGGAAGTGGACACATGTACAATCATGGTGGTGGGCATGTTGGAGGTCGAGATTCAAGGGGAGCTCGTGGTAGAGGACGTAGTAATGGTTCGAGAAGGTGTACACATTGTGGTATGGATGGACATACTATTAATTTTTACTATGATCTACATGGCCCAAACCTGGGCAAATCGTGCAGTGGCTAGTGGTGGTAGTTTTGAGTGGTTGAACGCTCAGTTGGTTGCCAAGGGTTATTCACAGTTATATGGCATACTACACAGAGACTTTCTCTCCTGTTGCCAAGATTGGTTCAATTCATGTTTTGATCTCTCTAGCTGCTATGTATGATTGGCCTCTGTTTCAGCTTGATATTAAGAATACTTTTTTGCATAGTGATCTTCTTGAGGAGGTGTATATGGAGCAACCACCAGAGTTTGTTGCTCAGGGGGAGGATGGTAAAGTGTGTAGGCTCAAGAAAGCTATTTATGGACTTAAACAGTCTCTTCGTGCATGGTTTAGCAGATTGAGTGAAGTAGTGAAGAAATTTGGCATGAAACAGTGTCAGGTCGACCATTTAGTATTCAGCTATGATTCTGGTGCTGGGAAGATTTTCTTAGTGGTATACGTAGATGATATTGTTATTACTGGTAGTGACAAGTTCGGGATTGATAGGTTGAAAACCTTTTTGCATGATCACTTCCAAACAAAGAACCTTGGTAAACTAAGATATTTCTTAGGGATAGAGATAGCGAGGTCCAAGTATGGTATTAACTTGTACCTGAGGAAATATGTCCTTGACCTACTGGAGGAGATAGGGTTGTTGGGTGCCAAACCAGCTGAAACACCCATGGAATTGAATGTCAAGTTAAGTAGTGATACAGGTGAGGAGTTTGAAGATCCAAGAAGGTATAGAAGGTTGGTGGGTAAGCTAAACTACCTAACCATTACTCGACCAGATATTTCATTTGCAATTAGTGTGGTGAGTCAATTTATGCAAAACCCTTGGGTTCCACATTAGGATGCAGTTCTAAGGATTGTAAGGTATTTGAAGGGAGCTCCTAGTTGTGGCTTGCTAAGTTGCTATACAAGAGTGGGGGAAATCTTGAAATAGAGGGATACACCGATGCTGATTGGGCTGGTTCTGTATCTGACAAAAGGTCCACTATAGGTTATTGTACCTTTCTTGGGGGTAACTTGGTGACATTGAAGAGTAAGAAACAGACAGTGGTGGCAAGAAGCAGTGTAGAAGCTGAATACAGAGCCATGGCACATACAACTTGTGAATTAGTGTGGTTGAGAAATTTTCTACAGGAGATGGGGTACTCAATTGGCACTCGGATGAAGCTTTATTGTAACAACCAAGCTGCAGTCCACATCTCCTCTAATCCAGTTTTTCATGAGAGAACAAAACACATAGAAGTTGATTGTCACTTTGTGAGAGAAAAGGTTCTTAGTGGAGTGATAAGTACAGCATATATTAACACAGGAAACCAATGGACAGATTTGCTCACCAAAGGGTTGAGTCGGGCAAGAGTGGACTACATATGTAACAAGTTGGGATTATATGATATATACTAACTAGCTTGAGGGGGAGTGTTAGTGTCGACTATACAGGGTCAGATTAGTCTTTTTGTTTATGCTTAGTATGAGGTGTAATGTTGAGTTAAGTGATGTGTCCCATACTTAAGTAGGGGCGCAAGAGTTGATTTGTGTTTAATATAGAAAACTATAAATATAACTTGGCCAACTAGAGAGGTGAGATTTTTCTCTCTAGTTCGAACCAGACTTTCTTTCTTCTCTCCTTCTCTTCACTCTTCTCCTCTCTTCCTCTTTCTATCTTTCCTTTCTCTTGTACTCTGAAACTAACGGATATATAGATCTGAACTTTATCAAAATCTAATAAAACCATGTTACTGTTTCGGACAAAAAAGACCTAGAAAAACTTTATCCAATCCATAGTTGTCAAGGCGACAAGGCACCTTTGAGGCTCGCCTCGCCTAATCACCAAGCAATTTTCTACTTCCTACTATAAAATACTTTTTTATTCATTCTTTTTTGAGATTATAATTATAAAATAGACATTATTAAACTAAAATAATCATTTTGTGTTTATATACTAATTTATTTTTATTATTTTCTTATTAATTAGGGTTTAATCAACAAAAAGCATTACTAAATGCAGTATTGAACCCTCAAAGACTTGAAAACCTGAACCAATAAGGAAGAACTTAAAATTTTATCTAATCAGCACATTTTCCTCTTCCATATATTCTTCTTCTACTACTAATACTTTTTATTTTCTTCTTTTCCTATAACAAAAATAAGGGTTCAGCCCCTATATTTTTTTAATTTTATTTTCCTTCTTCCTTTTCTTCTCATGAATATGTTGATTTTCTATACTTTAATATGAAATTTATACTTTTCTTATGAAAATCATGAATAATTATTAAAGAAATATGGTTATGGTACCAAGGGAACTACCCTAGGATCTATGTTTTTAACATAAAAAAATCCATCGCCTAGGCGACTAGGCGACAAGGTGCCCCCCAGTCGTCTAGCCTCGCCTTGGCGCCTTGAAAACTATGATCCAATCATTTTTTTAACTTAAAAGCAGCTTCATATATAAAATGTTCTGACTGAATCAACTGACATTCAATCAAGATATTGACATGAACAAAACCCAATTTAGATCCTGGGTTATGGTTCAAGCGTCCTATGATTCCAGCTTTGTTAAAACTGAAAACAGCCCTACTAGGTCCATGTCCCCCTATCTATTCCATTCTTTTTCCTTTGTTGGAGGTGAGATGGAGAAATAAACCAATTTTCTACTTATACCAATTTTAGAATTTTTGAGTTATAGAGATATTGGTATTTTTTTCATTTTTTTTTAATTTATTTTCTAGTCGTAGGTGTCTCGAGATTAGGATTTTTCCCTCTAGAAATTTGCTCTTATCAGTAAATTGAACTTACTAGTAATGGTAATTTATGGACCTACTATTTATAGAAATTCCCATAATTACTATTTATGGTAAAATCATGATTTACTATTTTTATTAATTTCTGGTTTTTTTACATTAAGCTGGTTTTAGTAGGATTAGTAATGTGTTGCTAGAGTTACTTTAGGAGTTAGAGTCCTAGAAGTGGTTGGAAGTTGTTTTGGATCAGCTTCCTATTTGAATTGGAGTTCCAAGTTTTCATGGTGAGTCTATAAATAGAATTGCAATTTATACGAGTTGATTTGATGAAATAAAGTTTTGGTTTAGTAAATTCTGGTTGTCAGGATTTTTTCTCCTTTTACCCCTCGCTCTTCTCACTTATTTCTTCTTCTAAGTGAGCCATCTAATTAATGTTTACTATAACAGAAAGAGTTCTTTCTTACTTCTTGCACATTCTTTGATGGACAGCAAGTTGTATGCATGCTTCTCCATCTCTATTCTTCATCATTTATCATCCAAATCTCCTTTATCACTACAAAACCCCCATCACTAGATCTGAAAGTTTTAGGACCTCTAACTTGTCCCACATCAAGGGGTGGGGGTCACGTAGTTGAGATTTGAAAAACATCAAAAGAGTGGATCACACCACCAAGGTTTAAATGTTGGTGTCAGTGGAAATATTGGTCACCCAAATATAGGACATGTGTCAGAAATGTCAAAAACATTGTATGGAAATATTGTAAAAATATAGAATGCTATTTTATGCAATATAAAAGATGCATAGGTAGACCCTTTTAAATTATTATCTTGTTCCAAGTCATTAAAACTACATTATAGAGTGAGTTCAAGAAAATTTTCAACTCATAAAACGTGCAAATGATTCTGATAGATCAACTAAATAATTAATTATACAACAAAAAAATAAGATTTAACTTCATGTTTGAAAAGAATTTAGAGCTGGTTCAAAGTGAGAATTATATCAATTAGGTGGTAAATAACACTGTTACACCACATATCTAAAATATTGTCACCAACTTATACTTTTTCTTTTCACTTATGTTATAATACTATCTCTTGTATTTGACATAACACTGGTAGATTTTATTGGGGAATATGTTGACTCCAACAATATTTTGTGTCGGTACCATTGAAATGAAAATATTTTGTGGAAATGTTAAAAGAAATTTATGGACACTTTAAAACATGTACGCCACCACTTGCACTGGTACAATGTTGATATAATGTTCTTGAGGCATGTGAAAGTGATACTTGGGATTTCATCCTCTACAAAATAGCAATATCCTTCGAACTATGGCTTTTGCTCATGCTAATGATTTCCATTGCTTATATAAAGGTGCAAAGAAAGTTCCTTGTAAATTATAAAACTGAGCATGTAACAGTAAATCTTTGACTGACATGTGTGTGAATGTGGGTTTGCCACTTTGTGCCCAAAAAAAAGAAAAAAACAGACAAAGATTAGGTCCATATCCAGTCCACCTTCTCAAGACCCCAGATAGCTGGGACCAACATTGGGTAGTGGCCTTTTTTAAACTAGTGCTAGAGTACTACAGAGTGAAAATAAAATAAAAATAGAAAAAGTTTGACACTGTTTTTTGAAATGGTAAAGCATTGAATTGAATACAGCTATTCAACAAAAGATATAGAGAAGACCGACAAGAATCATATGACATACTTTAAGAGCTTATAAAAAGGTTATCAAAATCAATTGGCCAACCATGAGAACATTCCTTTAACCACCTCTTCTTCTAAGCATTGTTTACTCTCAAAGACCCTAGCATTCATTTCTACCTAAATAGCCCAAAATACAGCTGCAGGCATAACATTACAAGCTACTTTACCTCTCCCATTCAAACCCCTCAAGTACCAACTTCCTAGAAAGTCCTTTACTGATTCCATTAACATCCTTTAACTGCAAATAGCTGTAGGACTTTCATCTAGATCATTATCATCAATTTGGCCTTCTCCCAACCATATGGAGTTGGACAAGGACTTTCATTTGCACATCTATCTCCTGCCTATAAGAGATCTATTTCTTTGTTGTCTTACGTTTCTATTCCTTGTTCTCTCAAGGAAGCTCTTGTTTCTCCTAACTACAAGGCAATGGATGATAAGTTGTTGCTTTGGAATTTAATCAGACATGGGATCTTGTTACTTTGCCTCATTGGAAGTAGGTTGGAGGTTGGAGGTGGATTTATACTATGAAACACCACCGTTATGGAAGTGTGGAACGGTACAAAGCTCAGCTAGTTGCCAAAGGTTACACTCAATTATATGGAGTTGATTATACTGAGACCTCCTTAGTGTCCAAGATGGGCTTTGTTAGTGTCATTATCTCCCTAGCCACTCATTTTGATAGGGCACTGTTTCAACTTGATGTTAAGAATGCATTCCTTCATGGTGATCTTGAGGAGGTGTATATGGAGCAATCTCTAGGGTATGTTGCTCAAGGGAAGGAAGGTAAAGTGTGTCAGCTCATGAAAGCCATTTATGGGCTAAAACAGTCACCATGAGCTTGGTTTGGCAGATTCAGCAATGTGGTAAAACAATTCGATTTAAAGCAGTGTAGTATGGACCATTCAGTGTTTAGTAGAGACACCAGTGGGGAAAATTATCTTGGCAGTATATGTTGATGATATAATTATTACAAGCGGTGATGGTGAGGGAATTGAGGAGTTGAAGCAGTTTCTGCAAAAACAATTTCAGACTAAGGATTTGGGACACTTGAAATATTTCTTAGGTATTGAAGTTGCTAGGTCCAAATTTGGAATCTCTCTTTCCCAACGTCAGTATGCTCTAGACTTGTTGGAAGAGACAAGATTTCTAGGAGGTAAACCAGTTGATACTCCTATTGGTCCAAATGTGAAGATTTCAAATGATGAGAGGGAGCCATTTGATGATCCAGGGAGGTATGGGAGACTAGTTGGCAAACTCATTTATCTCACCATTACAAGACCAAATATTTCATTCAGTGTGGGTGTGCTCAATCAGTTCATGCAAAATCCTAGAACCAGCCACTAGGAAGCAGTTATAAGAGTACCAAGGTATGTGAAAGTTGCTCTTGATCAAGGGTTGTTATATAAGAAAGGAGGTGAGTTAGCCCTAGAAGGGTATGCAGACTGGGCAGGGTCCAACACAGGAGGTCCACCACAAATTACAGCACCTTCAATGGGGGTAATTTAAGTTCTTTGAAAAGCAAGAAGTAAAATGCGATTGCTAGAAGCAATGTAGAAGCAGAGCATAAATCTATGGCTCATACTACTTGTGAGTTGGTGTAGATGAAGCACTTGTTGCAAGAAATTGGGATAGATGTACTCTCTCCTATGAAGTTGTTTTGTGATAATCAAGCCACCATTCACTTATCCACTAACCTAATATTCCATTAGAGGACCAAACACATAGAAGTGGACTGTCATTTTGTGAGATTGAATGGGATAATCTGCATCCAATCTGATTATTAATCAGATGGAAGTTCTAACAACCAAACCAGGGTAATCAGATGTGGTGTCAAATTGGGTATCGGACTTTTGGAGTCCATTAACAGCCATAATGGAGATGGCATGTAGCTACCCCATATAGATGGGATAACATTTTGATGAGGAGGAGGAGGAGGAGGAGGAGGATGATGTGTTGAGTGCAGATGCAGAAATGTGGGGATTTGTACCTATCTTACTGCTATACCATTTCCTAATATGATCCAGAATTAATAGACAAAAATCTTAGTGTGAGAATACCTGTATTCCTTCTGACAACTCAAGCTCTTCAGTAGCAGTGAGAAGCCTAGAAGTGCTAGTAGTCCCTCTCAAGTAACGCAAGGGATCAGAGTAGTCTATATCTTGTAAAGCAGCACGCCTTTTCCTGCTTGAATGTCCAGACTTCACAGATAAAACATTTGTAGAAGCTTTTTCCATTGCCCTTGCTCTTCTGGCTTGTCTTTCTGTCTGACGCCCTGATCTCACAGCTATGCTTTTCAAAAGCTGCATCTGCAAGAGCTTGAATTCTTCATCTGATGAGTCCAAACCATCAGAGTCTTTGTTGGAAAATTGCACGGATTGTTCTTCCTCTTGTCTTGATTCTAATCCTACAGAATGATCTATTCTGCCAACTTCTTGTGTTTCAGTAAGTTGAGCCTTCTCAAGTCTGAAAATGTGAGATTCAGATGAAAAATCTGAAGGCCCATTTTCTGATTCTGAAGAAGATTTATCGTTGACCATGAGAGCTGCATCCTTAGCAACCTCAACTGCTTCTTTTGCTAGAGCAACTGCTTCAGCAGCAGCAGCAGCAATCAAAGCCTCATCTCCCGTAATAAGTGATTCCATGGCCAAAGTTGCTTCAAAACTGGCCTGCATATTGAAATAAACAAAAAAAGAGCTTAATATAGTGAACAAAAAACCAAATGATGGCATTTTATCATTCACAATGTCATACGCATAAGATCCCTAATTACAAGTTCAATACATATGCTTGCCATCAATCTGCATCATGCAATAGAACCTTTGAAATGACCCAACCAGATGATCTTAATATCCACTCTTCTCATGAAACATCAACCTAGTTGCAGCATCTATCTTCAAGAAAATAAATTATTTTGATGAATAGATTTATAGGACTGGTGAAATGTGTAGCAAATGTAATGACCTTATGGGGAGGCATAATTCTGTGATCCAATGACCGCTTTGAGCAAGCTCTGGCTTGTTGCAAAGATCTCCTCAATCCTAAAAACTAATTAATACAGATTTTGATGCTATTTACTGCATAGATCTTCCAAGAATTAACAATGAAGCTAAGGTTGGTTAGGATACATTAAGGTTTTATTAATTATTAAGATGAAAATTTGTTATATTACTTCATGGTTTATTTATGCCTAATTGGACCTAATTGGACCTTATTACTTTATGTTTTTAGCCACATGCCTGCCACATGTTCACTAATTCCTCGGATCTAAGAGTTATCCTTGAAGAATGCTCTCTAATTCCTCTTGGTCTTATTCCTGACCTTCAATGTCTAGCCCATGTTCTCAACTGCAAGGTTGCTAATCCAACCTATCAATTACTTAGGGCTCCCTCTTGGAGTAAAAAGTTCCCCCTGCTCCCTCTGATATCCAGTATTAGAGAGATTCTACAAAAAGCTCTCATATTGGAAGGCTAGATATCTATCTAAAGGTGGGAAGCTAACCCTTATTAAATCTACTCTTTCCGGCCTACCTAGACACTACCTATCAATGTTTCACATCCCAATCAAAGATAGGGATGGCAATTTTACCCACAAAACCAGGTCCCCAATCCGACCCGCCCTGAACGGGGCAGATTTTCCCCAGTCACAAATGCATACGGGTCGGGTTCGGGGAATTTTTTTGCCCTGGACCGGGGACGGGGCGGGGATGGGTTCTGCCTATAAATCCCCGAACCTGCCCTGACCCTGATTTTAATTTACAACTATACCCTTATATATATAATGTATTAAACGTATTAGGGACGAACCGTTGACCATCGTAGCACAGAGCTGCGGCTCAATCTGCAACCGTTTTCAGTTCAGTCTTCGTCTTCGAGACTTCTCAATTCTCAGTCTGCAATCTTCTTCCGATCTTGCTCTCCGTTCGTCCGCCAACCGTTGAGCACTACCGCCACTGTAGAACCGCCGGCCGCCGACCGCCGTAGCACAGAGGTGCAGCTCAGTCTGCAATCATCTTCAACCTTTCTCTGTCTACAATCGTCTATTCATCTTCAAACTTTCTCGGTCTGCAATCTTCTTCGGTCTTTCTTGCTCTCCGTTCGTCCGCCGACCGTCGCATCAAGATCAGGTCCAAGCTCCTCATTGTCCAACAGTTGAGGGTTTCTGAAAGACTGTCCTGCTAATTGAATCAAAACAGAACAAACAAATGACATTTTAGGTTCTTGAAAATTGAAATGTTACGTGGCCTTTCGATGGAAACCCTTTCTCTCTCCATGTTCATTATTTTCTTCATTTTCTATTTGTCGTGTCCTTAATTTACATCTCCGCTCCATTCCATTTCATCGATCTCTTTTGGCTTTTAGGCCGGCATCTCTGCAACTCGTCCTCCAGCGTACCCATTGAAACAATCATCTAGGCGGAGAAATACCGGGGATTACCCATCTCCAGATCATTGGTTGCGGGGCGGGTACATGTCGGGGATTTCCCATCCCCAACGGGGCCAGGGATGGGGGTTGAATCTTCACCCCGATACCAAGGATGGGGCGGGGATGGATGCGGGGATTTAATCTACGGGGCGCGGATGGGGAGTGGCTGTCCCGCCCCGTTGCCATCCCTAGTCAAAGAGGCACAAAGTTTGGAGAAGATTCACCTTGTTGATTGGGCCAAAATTTGCACTCTTAAGCACTTGGGTAGTTTAGGGCTGTATAGATTCAGAGATGCCAACACTGCCCTCTTAATCAAATGACACTGGAGGCTTAATAAAGAAAATCGCATCTGGTGGAGACAGTTGATTGCTGATAAATATGGGCTATCTAATGGGGGTGGTCCTATTTTGTATGCTACCAGCAGACCTATTTTGAAAGGCATACAGAAGATGCACCCTCATTTCCTCAAAGGCACTGCTTTCAAGCTTGGAAATGGTACTTGGTACCCACCTGAGATTTTGGTTTGATGCTTGGTGGGGTAATAGACCTTTTGACAGAGTCTTCTAATATTGCCACAAACAAGGATGCTACTATGGCTGAGATGCTTTCTGCTTCTAGGCCTTCTGATGTTTGGGCTCCAAATTTAGAAGGAATCTCTTTGACTGTGAGATTGACCAGCTTGAAAATCTACTCTATCAGCTTCAGAACATTCATCTGAATGCCCACACTGATATAAGAAAGTTTGGAGCTGGAACTGTCAAGGCAAATTCTCAATCAAGCCTATGATTTATCATTCCTACTCTGATGGAACCAGCTTCCCCTACAAACCTGTTTGGGCAAGAAAGGTGCCTTTTAAAATTTGCTTCCCGGTCTGGACTGTGGCTTTAGACAAATGTCTAACCAAGGATAAGCTGATCGGGAGGGGGATTTCAGTTTCCTCCACAAATTGCTCTCTATATAATGGGGAGTTAAAAACTGCCAACCGCCTTTTCCTGCATTACCCCATTAGCAAGAAAATCTGGGTCCATCTTCTTGGAAATCTTTGGTTGAACTGGATCCTTCCCATGATCTTGGATTTTCTTCAGAGTTGGCATATTGAAGGCCTGACCAGATCTGATAAGTTCATCTGGTTCATGATGCTTGTTGCTGTTTTTTGGACCATTTGGATGGAAAGAAATAGCAGAATGTTTGAAAACAAAACCACTCAGACTGGTCAAGTAATCCATAACATGGCTGGAATGATCTATTCCTGTGTAAAATCTTTGTAATCTGTCTACAGATTCTCTTTTCTGTAATTAGCATACTATTGTTATTTTTTGTGAATGCAATTACACTGTACGGTCACTCACTGTATTGGGGTAACCTCCCATTTTTCTTAATAATACAAACATACTCTTCCTTTTCTCAAAAAGGAAAAAAAAAAACTTTCGTATATATATATATATATATATATATATATATATATATATCATGTAATGACAATTTTACATATTTTTCTCTTGTTTGATTTCTATGTTAGACTATAAAACCCAAATGGAGTCCAAATGAAATGTATACATACAAAACATGAGAGATAGATTATAAACCCACGTTGGCCTTGAACCCAATCAAACCTGCCCACATTGCACTCCTACGGCACAACCATCTGCCATATCTCAGTTGAGTTGCTTTCGTTTTGGCCTTGTATTTGTACTGCCAGTATTGAGGTAGGAGCTTTGGTTAAAGTAGACCTATGAGCCACCACACCCCACCCCCTTACCATGCAAAAGATATCCAAACAAACAAGGGAGCACAACCCCATTACTAAGTAGGTAATTCCTGTTTTCAGTCAAGGACAGCAATAACCATTGACTTGGAAGCAATGTTTTAAAACGTGGAGGCATGATGCAAGGCATTCCATTACCTAGAGGCATGAGGCATAGTGCAAACGTAAGAGGTGTAAGCCTCCTGAGCACAAGGAGGCATAAGCCTCCTTAATAGGAGGGAGGTGAAGAGGAAAAAGGAGGGGGAGGAGGAATAAGAAGAGGAAGGAGGATCTCAACTTGTGTCTTTATGAAAGATTTCTTATATTAAGAAAAATGAAGATGCAAAACACTAGTTCAAAGAGGGGGGCTCTTGTTGAAGCAGAGGCAAGCGGGCTGGATTGGAGCAAGACACCCCCCACCCCCTAGAACCAAAAAAAAAACAAATTGGACGTTTTTTTTGGGGGAGGGGAGGGGTGCTTCACCCCCAGCCCAAACATTAATTCCCCTTCTCTTTCCTTCCATTCCCTTTTCTTTTCTTTCTTTCTCTCTTTTTTTTCCTTCTCTTTCTTTCTTTCTTTCTTTTTCTTTCCCTTCCCTTTCTTTTCCTTTCCTTTCTCTTCTTTTTCCTTTCTTTCTATCTTTTGTATGAGGGACATGAGGCATATGCCTCTAGCACACCTCATGCAAAAGGTGTATGAAGTGTACGCCTCGGGCATTTTGGGGGCACCTCACCTGGAGGTATACCTCCCACAGCTTTTAAAATACTGCGTTCATGCACTGAAGAAAAAATATGCATAATATACCTTGTTATGTGGATGAGCATACAAGCTTCAAAACATAGCATTGGACAAGATCTCAAACTCCATGAAAAATGTAGGATTCAGGGACACAGGGGGGTATACTTAGAATTTCAATTTTGAGTTTTAACATATGCATATTAGCAAAGAGAATCCAGTAACTGAAGGTTAACTACATCTAAGAGCTTATTATGCAAATATATTAAAAAAATAGAACAACATCTAACTGATTATAGTATTATAGTAAACTATCAAGTATTATAGTTGTATAATCCAGTTGCAAATTTTAACCTAAAAACCATGATCTTTATGGTTGAATATCCAAGAATCAGTGACGTGAAGAATTTGGCCTTTTGGGAAGTCTACCACCAAAAGATAAATACTTGGGAATTCCTTCAAAAGAGAAGGCTGAACTGTGCTATATCCCCAAATATATGCTTCCTATGCAAGGCAAGTTCCGAAACCTCCTATCACTTGCTAATCTCTTGTCAATGGGTATCATATATTAGGAAGCATTTCTTTAATTTGTTTGAAGCTAGCTGGAATCCCCCATTGGAACTGTCACTTTGTCCAACTAATTTGCTTTGCACCAAGAATAAGAAAAGGCAAGATAACGTGGAGGTGCTCTCGGGTGGCAATACTATAGACCATTTGAGAAGAACAGAATGCAAGAATTTTCAAAGATCAATAAAAGTCAAGAGAAGAGGCAACCAGCTTAACCATGATCAAAGTAATTGGCCCAAACAACTAAAGAGTTCACCTATTTTTCTATTGCATATGGATGGGAATTCTCCTATCCATAGAGGTTGGCCATAATGGCATCTTCACCCTCCTTGGCCAACCAAATCACCACAATGTGGACACTCTTACCAGCAGATAAAATCAAAATGAACTTTGATGGATGCAGCCTTGGGAACCCAGGTCCAACCAGTATTGGTGGAATACTTCAATATGGGAGATGTGTTATTTGCATATTGAGGGCCTACTGGGGAAGGAAATTCGATAAGGACTCAGTTAGTAGCAGTGATGGAAGGCCCTGGTTTGCAATTGGAGACTCAAGATCAATCATATGCTTGCTAAAAGTGAAAGGCAGGTCTTTGAACCCTGTAGAACATGATCAGGGAGGCTAAACAATTATGCCAAAGAATGCAAGCATAAATTTTTGGGTTCCAAGATCCATAAATTCTTTGGCAGATTCCCTAGCTCATGAAGGTGTGGATAGGCAACAGCTTTGTTGGGCAGAATATCCATTGAATTCATTTTTTATTATTTTTATGGGGCTCTTAATGCAGTATGGAAATGTAAAATGTTTTTGCTACTATGGTCATTATTTATGTCTAGAAACATGTACACCTTGTACATACAGCGCCATTTTATGGTTCTCAATAAAATCTACTTTGCTGATCACAAAAAAAAAATGAAAAATGAAAAATGTGAAAAAAAAAAGTGAAGAATTGCCTTTAGTGTCATGTTAGGATCTTTGTCCACAAGAGCTCACTTGACAACATTTCAAATACTACATGACATAAGTCATACATGTCATCTTGCAGGAAACAATATGTTGCTAAACTTAAGGACCCTTTTTTCCTGAAATATATAAAATAAACTAAATCTGACCTTTGTGGGTGGACCGGTGGCCCCAATATAAGACAAGGGTCTGTCAGATGCTACTGAGATTGAATGAGATTCCAAAGAAGGCATTCTCAGCTTCTCCACATCAACCAGTGTAGTTGTCATAGCTGTTGTTGTTGTGGAAAGAACACATTGTGTCTGGAAGGAAAGAAGATCTCTCGATTTTGCTGCATATTGCAACCAATACTGAAAAATAAGTCCAACATCATATACAAAATCACATTTCTCAAAGGTTTTTCAAAAATTATAAGCTCCAAAGAGTATATCATAGTAATCATTTGAAAAACGTACAAAGGGGTGGCTTTTCTGTTTTAATTTCACATAACAATGAAGTTAAATTTCAGAACAACTATGAACTATCACATATTTATTAATACATTTATGTCAATTGCTTTTATAAGTTCTAGGATATGATTGAAAGGACAAGGTATGTCAACTAGAGATTTCTGATGGAATTTTCTCTACAAAATAAGGACTACATACTTAATTATCAAATTTGAAGCATGATTCGTGACAATTTTCCCCCAAACTATTTTTTTCACGCCCAAATGAAAGACATCACTAAATGGAAATGCCAGCACCCGAAGTAATTTAGTTCTCGTTCTCTCCCTTCATTTTCTTTTTAAGAGCTCGTCTTGGGGAGACTAGAAACTATAGGACTTAAATTACTGCATCCTTCATGAAGAATCAGCAATTCACAAAAACCAACAAACCCAATAACAAACCATCCAAGTTATATATGTAAATTGTATCTGTTAGACATTTATAGAAGACCTGATCAACCAATATTCCATTTGAATGCCATAAATGGGCCACAGAAGGAGGATTATCCATTCAACGACAAGGTCTACCATATAAACACCGCAACGTTGACAAACGGAAAGCAATTCCAGAATGCACCTGTACGGGTTGAAATTTAGAAAATACCTGGACTTGCCATCTTGCAGATAAATGCACCACCAACGAATTTACCTCTTTACACCAACTACTACTACCCATAAGTTTTAGTTCATTTATATCTTTGGAAAGATAGCAGGAAACAAGAAAACAGAACAGACCCACTACTCCACTCGAAATATTTTCTTGTTGTATGTAGCATTACCGGAAGAAAAGGATGCTAAGCTAAGTTATCATTCCATCACAAATAACAGTACCAATTAAAACAATACAAACAGGTGGAAGAATGACGGGAAAAAGGGTTAAAGGAGTCATAACTTACAGTGGTTATTGTTACAGTGGTGGTGTTTGTGGTGTTGAAGTTGGTGGGTTCTGAAATGGATGGAAATAGTATCTGGTGAGCACTTGAATTGTGGCAGCAGACACGCCATTTTCTCTGTATTAATTTTCTAACTTTCTGTGTCTACATGAACAAGTAGATAGAAAGATAGAAGCAACTAAAGAAGCATTAGATGAGAGGAAGACAGTGATAGAACCAGAACGATCTCCAGAACAGAATAGCGGGAGCTTCAGAAAGAGTTTAAGAAGTGTAGTGATAATTGGATAAGGGAAAACGAACGCCTGAGGAGGAGAGAGGGACAGACAGACCGTCTCTCAAAAATAAACGCAAGGACCAAACTGCCCCTGAAGTTTCAGTGCTTCACCTGTTTTTTTTTGTGTTTCACTTTTTGTGTAGCTTTAATACAAATATACATGTTTGTAAGTGCCACTATCGTAAGATCTTATGAAGCAAAAAAACTATCCTAAGATCTAAACCGTCGATTTGTAATACCCCGGAAACTATTAAAACCCCGTTTGCTAATTTGGCGTTATGGGTCGGGTCCGACCTGACGGACCCGAATCGATTGAATTGCTTCTGGTTCCAATAATCGCAACCAATATATTGTCCAGATTATTATCGGACAATATATTTAAATAATAAATTCATAATTATTATTAATTTAAGGTTAATTAAATCATAATTATTGTTAACCTATAATTAAATTTAAATAATTAATGTTAATTAATAGTAAAATAAGTACTTTACTGTTTATGATAAGTAATTGAGTGGCAATGGGGTGAGTTTAGGGCAGGGATCATATTCCCCATCCTAATCACTGTTGGGGTTAAAAGTTACCCTCCATTCCCGATTCTCGATGGAGATGGGTTCCTTGTGGGCACTTGAATCATCAAAATTTTTTTAATTAGAAGTATTTTTGAAAAATATATTTACTTAAAATAAAAGAAAGTTTTAAAATATAAATAATATTTTAAATATATTTTGAAATATATATATAATATAAATAATATATATACTATATATAAAGCGAAATGGTCCATGTCAGCAACCCTCTCCTTTCTCCAAAGCCCCCTTCCTACTTTATCCTTAACTCTCTTTCATTTCCCCTTCCTACTTTATCCTTAACTCTCTTTTATTACATATTGAATAAAATAATTTAAATTAATGTAATATTAATCGAGTAAGTGGATTAAATTGTTATTAATAGGCATGAATTAGTTCAACTCCAATTAATGAGTGGATAATTAGGAATGGTCACCTTTATTCAATTAATTAATTAATTAATAGGGATGAAGAAGATCAAAAGGGACAGAAAATGTAGGTTCTTGAGAGTTGAGTCTTTGTGATGTTTTAATTTTTTTTCCAATTAAGGCAATAAATTATAAAAGAAAAGAAGAAGCGCACTAAATCATTGTAAGGGGGAGAGAGGGATTGGTGCCTATAATCTAGGGGATTAATTCTTTCTTTCAAGAAAGGGAAGCGGTCGTTTCCTAATCCATCACCTTTGTGAACCATAAATGAATAGAAAGGGGGTTAAGATGATTTGGAAATTTGGAGTGTGTATGTATGTATGTATTAAATAAATTAATATAGGGTTAAATACTTAAACTACCCTTATGGTTTAGCAAATGGACAAAAACACACCCCACTGTTTAAAAAATTACTTGAAGACCATTAAGTTTTTTTATAATGGACAAAATCCTCTCCTACCATTAGTGTGTCATTACAATAATTTGTTCTCATGTAGTGTCACATGAGTTATATAATTCTTCCTAATTCCAAAACTACCCTTTTATGGTCGATTTTGCCCTTCATTGTTCTTTAAATTTTCAAATGGATGCTCAACCTAGTTCTATTGTGGAAAGGGATGCTCAACCAATGTCGCTAGCAATCATCTCCACCAACAATAACCAAAGAAAAAAAAATAAGAATTATAAGATACGCTCGCAACCACTACTAATATAGGTGGATGAACAACAAGTCTAGTCTCCAACTGTGACTAATCAAGACCACCCTGCTTTTCAAATCTATCCAACACTTTCCTCAGTACAAATTTCAAAGCCTTCTAAAATGACCTTCCGCTATCTCCACCCAGCCTAAAATCCGACTATATCTAACTCTACAACACTATTATGACCCCACAATGAATAAAGCAACAATGAGAAAAACCCACCTTATAACAAATATGTTCCTCTAAATGGGAATCCCTTGTGAATGCCTTCATTACGTTACGAGTGCTAGATTCCTACAATGGTTGTTGCTCTGTCAAGTGGTGGCGACCAAATTTAACAGCCCTTTTAAACCTAAAGCAGAACTAGTGAATAAACAAAACAAGAATTAGAAGGAACATAAGTTTGGTATGCAATGACATCTTAGCAAAAGAGCCCTCTCTACATGCGATCCTCCTACTACATCAAGGAGTAAGTATAAATTGATCCAAGGACTGAAGGAGAATAATAAGAACAATAAAGATAAAAGATGAGAATCTACCTCTCCAAGAATGAGGGACTCAAGAAAGGCCACAGGACACATTGCTTTCGGCGTTGCCATAGTACACATGTTTTAACGCTAGGGACAAGGAGTCACTTTGCGCAAAAACCCACCCACTTGTTTCAAGTGATTGGTGGGGCCTTGGACTCTTCTACTATTCTTGAAAATTTTCATCGGTTTTGTTTTAAAAAATTTGAGAAATAATGGAGGTCAAATTCAACATTTCACTTTTTTCGTCAATATTTAACTGTGATGTCCATAGTATAATAATTTTTTATCAAATAAATATTTTACCAACAAAGTATTTGTCTTAATCCAAAGCAGAAGAAAATAATAGACAAGTAATGAAACGAGGTTAGGAGAAAACAATGGATAGTTTTTATATAATATACATCAATAAATATTGATTTCACACTTTGAGGACCTATACCACACATTTTGACCGTTAGATGTGGTTTGCATCATAGATCCACCATTGGATATGAAAATCAGCCATTACGTGCAAGCATGGGTAATTTGGGCCATTGGATTGATTCTTGGCTCATACGCATCCAAGTGAAAGTGTCGTACTAAAACACCCATATGGCTATTTTCTGAAATGCGCCACCAAACAACCAACCCATGAGAAAAACATTTATTTTTGCTGAGTTGTAAAGTAGCTTTATAGGCTGTTTCTTGAAACGCCCAAAGTAAGCCCAACCAAACAATCAAACAAAAAAAAAAACGTTTAAAGTGAGTGTTTATCAAATAAACGTTTATTTGATAAATGCCCCTCTAGGAAACACCTACAACATTGCACAACAAATAAATACCGTAAAGGATTTTAAATCCACATAATTTGGTGGGACCCACCCTTTCAAATTCATTAATTTCAGAATTCTATTCCTCAACTATTGCTGGCATCAAAACAACCATAATTCACCATGTTGTAAATCCTCGTGTTTTCGGATTCCATTCCCCAAAACTAAGTGCAACCTCGTTGTGGTTCGAACTTTGGTAGGATGGTATGGGGTGGGGAGGAGTGGTGGAAATAGAAATTGTCCTTATTACGTTCTCGATAGTCTTAGAGTGCTTGAATTGAATATCAAGTTGGATCTTGTTCACGTCGTCATTATCTCCATACATCTTCTTCCATTTCTAAAACCCAAGTTATTGAAATACTCCTTGATGACTTCCTTGTCTCCACCTCGACCTCCTAATATGAAACTCTGAAACAATGCCTCAAGTAAAGGCTGTTACCTTCTTCTATCTTCTACCATGAATAGCCTCCAAAAAGGTTAAAATCTCTTAAAATTGCTAAGGGTTATTTGATTTTGCCTCTAAAAATGCAACTCTAACTCTGCTCTACTTTCATTAGTTCGAGAAGCAGTGCAAAACAGGAAAAACAGTCTTTTAAGTCAAGGAAAGAAACACAATTGCGTGATTGTAGCGAAGATAAATCAATTTAGATTTGAAATTGCTACAAAACATAGAAGTAAAATGGCCGAATAGTTGGAGAAAAAACATCAGCGAGATTCCGACTTGATAGGATCATCATATATGAAAATTTGAGAAATAATGAAGAATAAGTTTGACATTTTGCCTTTTTTTTCATCAATATTTAGCGATAGGGCTCTTCATAAGAATGCTCGACCCGATCAAACCGACCAACCTGGACCGACCCAACCCGAGTCAGTCGGGTTTTCATTAGTACCGGTCGGTTTTGGGTTGGGCAAATATATAAACCGATATATTGGGCCGGTTTCGGTTTTTTTATGTGAAAACCGAAACCAACCCGACACGAACCGAATTAGCCTTCTACTAGTTCGATAGTTCTTAGTTTGAGTAGTTTCCTACTTAATTATAACTAGTCTTCTATTAGAACTAGAAGGCCTATTAGGCAATTACAATTAGAATAGGCAATTTATCATAGTTTTTAACTTTCTATAATCTTTTACACCAAATAGGCAACCCATTAGGCAATTACAATTAGAATTCAATTAGGTGTCATTTTGTACAACAACAAAACCGAAATTTTCAACCCGACTCAAACCAACCAGGTCGGTTTGGCCTATCAGTGGGTCGATTTTGATTTCCACCTCAAATAACCCAACCAGATCGGGTCGGTTGGGAAAACCCCAATAAACCAACCCAACCCGACTCGTGAACACCCATATTTAACGATGATGGCAGTTGTCCAAAACCTTAATGTACTTTAACACAATATCTAAATAGTAAGTGTAGAATTAATCAATTTGCTAAATCTCACGGATACTTTAAAAAATTTGCCATAAGAAAACATGTAATTATTGATTATAGCACATCCTATTTTTTAAAAGGGGCACCACAATGTACCCCATAGCATATTTGTCTTTTTTGCTCGGATCATCAAAATGGCGATGTGCCCTGATCAACACTCTTCCTCGTTCCATAAAACACAGGGTCGAGGAGAGAGGTCCCTGTTTGCTGATCAAGAGTTGGTTCGGATCGACGACGACAACGACGAAGAAGACGAAGAATAGTGGGAGTTTGAGGTTTCAGGAGAAGTAAGAAAAATGGATGAAGAGGAGGGTGGAGGAGGGTTGGGGAGGCTAGGGAAAAAGAAATTCGTGGAGAAGGGCGAAGTGGACTACAAGACCAAGGCTGGTACGGCTTGGAGCCATTCCTACCTCAACCAGAAGCCTTGGCACCCTCTGTCCTATCCCAACCAACGTCGCAAATGGATAGCTGAGCAGACCGATGCTCAACGCGAGCGCCGTGCCGAGGAAGTTGCCAGAGAAGTTCGTCTCTCCGTTCCCTCTCTTTCTCATATGCTTTCAGTTTCATTCGTCTTTTCTCTCAAATTTCTCTATGTGTCTTTGTGTTTGGCTCTGCAGTTTGCTCAGGAGCAGGAGTTCTTCCGTCAAACTGCTCTTGTCTCCAAGAAAGAGAAGGAGAAGGTAAAAAATAATTACAATAAATATAATTAGAATTTTAATTGCAGCAGTCCCATTTTAACATCTCATTTTTTTTTTTGTTTTGTTCCATTGTAATTATCTGCCTATTTTACTTCGTGGGTTCGCATGAATGATCAGAATTTGGATTTGGATTAATTCCTCTTTTAGTCGACTTCAGTCTGTCGCCATAAATAATGTGAATTATTGGGAAATACTTGGAACTTGATAGAAGAAATTTCAGTAAACCATTATGCAAGATATGCTTGAGGAAAAAAAACGATGATGCCTTTTGACATTTGTAATTCAAAATTTTGTATAGGTGGAGATGATGAAAGCTGTTAGTTTCATGTATGTTCGGCCACCGGGTTATAATGCAGAAAGTGCCAAAGCTGCAGAGATTGCGGATGAGAGGAAAAAGCAGGAACAAAACAATCCTCAGCAAGAGCCTGCAGATGGTGCTCCCCCCACAATGTACTGGCATTCGTTTCTTGTCATTTCTATTACTTTCCCATCCCTACTAACTGTTTTTAAGGGCTTCTTAATCTTTGAAGACTAATGGTGGATGTCCACTGGGTGTTTTAGACTGTAAACGTAATACTAAGATTGTTTTCTCATATGTGATCGATTACAAATACAACATTGCATTTCCTTGTAGGCCGCCTGATCATCCAAGTGAAACTAGGAGGAAGCCAAGGCCAAAGGATGTCTTTGGTCGTGCCTTACCAACAGAGGAAGAATTTGAAGTATTGAAAAATGCTCCACGGTATATTTATTTAGTTAGTCTTCTTTGCAATTTGTAAAATCTGTGTTTTCATTGTGATTTCAGATGTGAGCTTTGAAATTGTAGTAGAAATATTGGCTTATTCATTTCATTTGTCCGAATTGCAAGGAAAACTTTCAAGAGCACATTATTTACCATATTTTCTTCTGCAAGATCTGCTAATACTTAATAATCCTTGCACCTTGTATGCTTGAATTCCTGTTGAAATTAATGTAGAATAGCTATATCTTTCAGGGGAATAGTTCTTGCTGTCCAAGTCCTTTTTGGTGAGATGATATGAATCTAACTACATTGGTTGGAATGATATATATAGTTTCCTTTGAATCTCAAAATCTCTAGCCAAAAGCACACTGTGTTCTTTAACTAGTCTTGTCTATCTTTATACAAAATACAAATTGTTGTTAAATTTAGTTTTTTGAGTGGTTCATAGGCTTACTTGCTTTCTTATCAACGAAGTTAATGGTCATCCTATAATGTAGTTATAACATATAAATCCTAAGTTATTTTAACCTATCATACAATTATCTTGAAGAGAGGGGGGGGGGGGACGCAACTTTCCTCATCAAGTACCAGTGTACAATTTAGTATTTGTTCTTGTTAAATGAATTTTTGTAACTTTGACTTCTGATAGGTGGGTGAGTTGATAATACAACTTATAAGCAGCTTTACATTGAAAACATACTCTAATAATTAGTAATAAATTTTGATGGGTGAATTAGATCAGATTATATTATAATGTTAATAACTACATAGGGACATTGCCCTTGAATTCCTTTATAGATAACCAAGAGGAAACCATCCCAGTGGATTTAAGGAACACAGACTCAGAAGTAGATGTTTTTCTTTCAGAAGTTCTGGAATTTCTCTCCCGTAACCATCCAAATAGTTGCTAGAGGAATGATACTCCATTGGCCTTGCTTTTTCTTACTAATTTCCTGATTTGCCATCCTTAGCTCTGTAAGAACAAAGAAACCTTGGGTTAGCTAAGCTAGGGGTGGCCAGGGAATCTATATTTTGGGCTCAGTTGTAATTCTGGTTTTCTCATTGTGGGGGTTCATGCCTCTGTTGGGGAGTTAAGAGAGTTTATCTCCCCCTTTGTGTAATTAATTATTCTGATTGATTAATGAAAGTTTTGTTATTGATAAAAAAAAAGAACAAAGAAACCTTGGGTTGAATTCTAAAAACTTCAAAGTGATCAGTCATAGTGACTAGCAGTCTCAACTGTCTCTTGATAAAGAACACCATCCATGTTTGATTATCTTCCTTTTTTTTGATGAATCATGAATAATTTTATTAGGATGAAAATAAACTAAAATGAAAAGTGGATACAATCCAGAGTTCTCCCAGAAGGCGCGAGTTGCTGCCTTCCAAAACAAAGAAAATCAAAATAAAATTACAATTGAGCCCAGAACAAGTGATCCCTGTTCACCCCTTGCTTAGCTAGTAAGTCTACCGGCCCATTTGCTGACTTCCTCTCCCACTGAACTCTCACTGTGAGATTAGAAGTAAGCCACTTAAATCTCCTTATCTCTCCCCTAAAAGACCAAGCTGTTGTCTCTGGTTCTTTTAACCACCCAGTTACCACTTTAGAGTCACCTTCAATGATCAATCTCCCAAAGTTCAACTCTTTAGCAATTTGTGCACCCTGTATAGCCGCTTGCATCTCTGCACTAACCGCATCCCCCACACCATTTGGGCTGGAGTATAAGACAACAATCTGCCCCTCTTCATTCCTAAACACACCCTGGAATGATTATCTTCCTTAGAACTAACTTTTACATGGTCAAACATTTGCCTAAGATTTTTGTCCATGCCACAAAATCCATGGGCCCAAACTTGTTTGTGAGGGAAATCACCCCCACCCCTACCCCCCAGAAAAGGGCTTTTAGCTGTCTAAAGAATGTTTTGAGGGGAAAACTAATGTTACTACTAAAGAATATGGCTATTTTTTCAATTTATATGTATTTGTATTGGTATGTAAAAATAGGGAGTTAACTTAGAATTTAGGTTTTTCTTTGCAAAATTCTATTGGCTAGGTAACTAGGCCAATAGGCACTCCACTCTTACCTAGAATCGTCTACACCTTGATAACTATGGCAAAGAGTTACTTGAAAACAAGTCTCTGAATATGGAATTGCTAGTAATCGACCTTATGGTTTCTATAAGATTCTTGATCTCTGAAATTCTAGCTGATTCACTTGCTAGAGATGGTGCAAATAGATAAGGTTTGTGTTGAAGATCATTTCCTTTGGGCTTGTCGATTATTGTATGGGAGTGGACTAGTAATAATAGAAGAGAATGGTGGAACAGGATTGGTGTATCTGACCCCATATAGTGGGAACATGCTAGGGGCCATTTAATAACAGCTGAAGTGGATGGACAAAATTTATGCTTTGTCTTTTAGTGAATAAGTTTTTAAGGAGGTTATGGGTTCCTTAATGGCTCAAGCTGAAGTTGGATAGATTACTATACCCTTAAATATTTTATAATTTAATGATTTTGTCCATGAAAGGACAAAGCAACAAGTCATTCAGTTTCAACAACTTCATCCATTACCAAATGGCCTTTTAGATGATGATTATAAATGGACTACTAAAGATGTTAGGGCGAATAGTCAAGGGGCTGGCTTTCTTTTCAGTTTTACTGGGATAGATGAAAGCGTGCACTCACTGTTGTATCTTAACTCTTATTTTTTTCTTGATAAATTTCTGATCATTATCGATAAAAAAATTACTACCTCAATTGATTCATGGAGTTTCAACCTCTTTGTTGCCTGCCTTTTTTTCTCCTTCCTCTCCATTGCCATGCTTGTAAACTCTTGATCTGTCAAGTAATAGTGATAATTCGTTTTCAACACTTACATCCTTTCGTATTGTATATTTATGTATGTTTTTGTATAGTGCACATACACCACAACCACGATACAGGTTATCTATATAAGGTTCTGTATCGTGATGAATACTTCAATTTTTGGTATACATTCTTATCTGACACTTTCTGGCCATGTCCTTGTGGCTTAACATGACATGTATAACATATATATGTTGAAGCTTCCATGCAAGGTGACCCTGGGACAATGCCTTGTTGCCAAGAGGATGCCTTGTCCACTTCTATAAAAAAAAAGAGGATGCCTTGTTCACTATTGCGTTGGATGAGATCCATCATGTCCAACATGTTTTTATTGTCAAGACTGTGTGAACTGTAGTTTGTGGTAGCCTTGTAGGCCTTTGAATGGTCCCGGTTCCTGGTTTATCATCATGTGTTCCATGCATAGGCTGAGAACAAAGTCCAATTGATGCATGCATCATTTTCTATGGGGGGAGTGGCCACCTCCCAAGTCATGCAATAAGAGTTCTTACTTGAGGTTTTCCCTTGTTCTCTTGATACCTTGGACTTTTTTCTGTTGTTAATTGTAATGCTGTTCTCACCTGAAAACTTCTTGTGTTATTCTTGACCACTACTCCATATGTGGTTTAAATAGCGGCGATTTATTTCAGGCTAGAGACAGGTCTGCCAGCAAGAGTAAAACCATTTGGGATTGAAGTCCGTAATGTGAAATGTGTAAGATGTGGAAAATATGGTCATCAAAGTGGTGATCGCGAATGCCCATTGAGAGATGCAATAATGCCTAATGAAGAAAGCCGATTGAAGAGAGATGATCCCTTGACAGCTATCTTGGCCCACACTGAATCTAGCGAGGTCAGTGATGTTTTCATTGGGTACTTTGAAATGAATTAAGTTCTGATCAATGTTTCAAGTTGGTATACATGCTTCAATATTCCTATTAGAAACTTATTCATACCTATGAAACATGATGTTCTATTAGGTCAAGTTTGTGGTATTTAGTTCAAAGCCATTTAAGTTTAAATTCTATCATCTCTTCATTAAATCTATCTGCTATCATAAATTTATCACTTATTAATTAATCTTTAGTGTGATTGTGTTCTTTTTCTTTTCTTTCCTTTTGATAAACAATGATGGTTTCTATCGATATGCTAGTAGGTTAAGAGATGAGCCCCTAGATGAAAAATGACGTGGTTTCTATGAGATAACTCGTATACAAGATGTACTTTTCTGTACCGTCATTAGATACAGTAATAACTCTATTCCAATTGTTGCAAAAGTTGTGGATCTTTAAATCTTTGAATTCCACCAAGATGGATGCCCACAAATAAATCAGCTGCTCTACCTTACCTGTAAATGCTAAGTTTGGAGTAGGACACTTCTTGCCTTAAAGAGTATGATTATGCTTTATCGATAAGGTCTACTAACAAAATATAAAAGGTATGATGTTCCAAAGGATGTTACCTTCCTTGCAATGATCTGATGGGTCATCAGTTACTGGTGAGTGTGTGGATTTAAGGATTAGGAGTGGTGAAGCAGGTTTGATTTGCAAGATTTACACTGAGGAGGCTTATGACTATGGAGAATGGGGTTTTTTAGAGGAGGTTCTCATGCAGGTGAGTTATGAGGAGAAATGGAGAAGTTGGATATTCGCGTGTATATCTTTGGTATCCTTTTCAATGTTGATAAATGGATCGTCCACAGAATTCTTTCAAACTTCTAGAAAGGTTGAGGCAAGAGGACCCTTTATTCCCCATGTTGTTTGTTTTAGTTGCAGAAGTTGTAACTAGGATGATTTGTAAAGGTGTTGAAGCAGAGTTAATTTAAAGGCTACAAGTTAGGAAGAGAGGCTCCAATCATCACTCATCTTCAGTGTGCTGATGACACTTTGATATTCTTAAAGTCATCTATGGAGCAGGTGTTGCATATTAGAGCTACTCTAAAATGTTTTAAAATGCTATCAGGTCTGAAAGTAAACTTGTCCAAAGGCATTATGATTTGTGTTGGTGATACTCCAAACTCCATGCTAGAAGATTGTGCAGTAACGTTGGATACTTGTGGATGAATTCCCTTTCATCTATATGGTCTTACCAATTAGGGCAAAGGCTTCTGCTAAATCCACATGGCAACCTGTTTTGAATAGAATTGATAGAAGATTGGCTGGGTGGAAAGGAAATACCTTTCTCTTGGAGGTAGGTTTACTTTTGTCATGAGATTTCTAACTAATTTGCCTATTTACTGTCTTTCCTTTTTTGAGAAGCACAAAGAAAAGGGGAAGAACCATATGGAGATGCACAAGGGCTGCAGTGATATGGAAAATTTGGGAATTGAGGAATACAAGAATTTTTGGGGTGAAAGTTATTGAGATCATAAGGAAGAAGGGGGGATCAAGTGTGTCTCCCTAAGGAAGAAGGGAGATCATAAGGAAGAAGGTGAAAGTTATTGGAGCAATTACAGAGGAATTTTTTGTGGAGGGGTTGGGAAGATGAAAAGAAAATTCACCTTGTCAAGTGGGATCAAGTGTGTCTCCCTAAGGAAGAAGGGGGGCTGGGAGTAAGAAATCTGAAGAAATTTAACTCAGCCCTTCTTAGTAAATGGTTATGGAGATTTGCTTCTGAAAGGAATGCATGGTGGAGAAACCTAGTAGCTGTTAAGTATGGTGTGGAATGGGGAAGTTGGAGATCGAGGGATCCTCCTCCAAGTAGGGGCAGCTCTCTTTGGACAGGCATAATGAAGAATCTTCCTACACTCTTGGAAGGGATCAGTCTTAAGGTGGGTAAAGGAGATAGAATAAAGTTCTGGAAGGACCCCTGGTGCTTGGAGGGTCCTTTGGCGGATGCTTTCCCTCTTCTTTTTCAATGTTCTATTAATCAAGACTTATTGGTGGCTGAGAATTATAGTTTCTCTGGTGGAACCATTATTTGGACCCCCCTTTGCAGGAGAAGTCTGTTTGATTGGGAGCTAGAAGAAACTGTGGAGTTGTTGGGGCTGCTTCAAAATCAGAAGATAGATATGAATATGGAGGACGAATGGAGCTGGAAATGGAATTATTGGTGGCTGAGAATTATAGTTTCTCTGGTGGAACCATTATTTGGACCCCCCTTTGCAGGAGAAGTCTGTTTGATTGGGAGCTAGAAGAAACTGTGGAGTTGTTGGGGCTGCTTCAAAATCAGAAGATAGATATGAATATGGAGGACGAATGGAGCTGGAAATGGAATTCAGATGGTTGTTTCTCTGTTAAGTCTTTGGCCTTCAAGCTGCACAGTTCAGGTCATTCGGATTTTTCTGCCAATCAGACTTGGTATCCAATTAGCCCCTCCAAGGTTACTTTTCTTGTTTGGACAATGGCTCTTGATAAATGTTTGACTAGAGTTAATCTGGAGAGACGTGGCATTCAGGTTCTGGACTCCTTGTGTGTTGTGTGGTTCTCTTTCAGAAACTACAGATAACTTGTGCATTCACTGCCTGACTTCCACAATGGTGTGGAGACATTTCCTGAAGGCTCTGGGTATTAGTTGGGTTATGCCAAGATCAGTCAAGGAACTGCTGTACTGTTGGAGAGTGGACGGTCTCAACAAGAAAGGAAGATTAGTATGAAAGACCATTCCTGCAGCTGTTTTGTGGTCTATTTGGGCTGAGAGAAATAATAGAATTTTCTTCAGTAGAGCTAAAAATCCTGAAGAGTTAGTGCAGGGAGCCGTGGGCAAGTTGATCTCTTGGGTGTCGGTTACTGAGGAGTTTAGGCATCAGAATTTGACTCACTTGTTTTGTTCTCAGTGTTGGATGAGTCTGTAATCTGATCTGCACTCAGGCAGTTTTTGGCCTGAGTTTTGTTGTAATGTTCTCCTTTTCTGTTTGAATAAATTTACCTTACTTTTTCCAAAAAAAAAGTTATTGAGATCATAAATTCTCTGAGTGGTGTGTTGGGTGAAGACACTAAAAATGTTTTTTCGGACTTCTCATTGGAGGATTTCTTCAGAAACTGAGGGACAATAGCAGGCTCTTCCTCCAGGAAACAAAAGGTCTTGGAGGTTTGGTCACCCTGAGTTGGTGGTTGGATGAAACTGAACTTTGATGGTAGCAGCTTGGGCAATCCTGTTCCCTCAGGAATTGGGGGGGGGGGTGAGGATGGTACTATTTGTGGCCTGTTTTCGGGCCCAATAGAATGAGGCGATTCAGTAAGGACAGAACTTTTGGCAGCAATTTTTGGGGTACTGAAATCCAGAGAAATGGGAATTGTTCGATTGATCATTGAAGAGGATCAGAAGGCAATAGTAGGGTGGATAAACCAAGGTTTAGGGGTGCTGTGGCAGTTTTGGAATGAGTTTAGGTGCTTTAAGTGGTTTTCTAGAGATATGTTCATTCAAATTAGATGGGATAGGAGATCGGCTAATAGTTTAGCAGATGGCTTGGCTAAACAAAGAGTTCACAAACAGCAATTGTATTGGGCACAGTTGTAATAGGGGGTGGTGGGTCTGTACGTTTTGTATTGGGTCTTTTCAGTTTTCACAACCTCTTGTAACTTTGTTCTCATTTAATTAATAAAATTCTTACGTGTTTCTGATAAAAAAAAATCTGGAATAAAAGGCTGATTCAATAGAGAGGATACAAAGAGATTTCCTTTGGAACATCAAAGTAGAAAGAGGTATCACTTAGTAAAGTAGGGCTAGGTTTGTAGATCTAGAAAGGATGGGGGTTTGGGGATAAGAAGGGTGATATTATATAACAAAATTTTGTTAGAGAAGTGATTGTGGAGATTTGGTATTGAGAGAGAATCTCTTTGGAGGAATGTTATTGGTTATAAGTATGATGTGGTCAGATTTGATTAGGACTCTAGAGAAGTGAGAGCTACATATGGTGTTAGATTTTGGAAAGGCATTTTGAAATTTCACCATTTCTTCTTAAATCTTACAAAATTCAAGGCAGATGATGGATCAAGTATTTGGTGTTGGGAGGATGAACGGGTTGGTTTTGAGAAATTATGTATCTGTCCTAGAATTTTCAGGTTAAGAGATAAAAGTATTACCATTAGTCAATGCTTTGAGGTGTGGCAAGGCATGGCAGTGTGGTCCTCCAAATTCAGAAGGCCCTTTTTCTAGCTGGGTGGTGCTACAGGGCTGTAAGAAGGCAAGAATTTTTGGAGTTGTATCTGGTTCCTGATCCATTTTGGAGTTTTTTTTTTTTTTTTGGGGGGGGGGGGAGGGTGGTTTGAGTTATGTTGCCTTTTATTGCTTTCCTTTTTGGGTGATTCCTCATCAGCCTTTGTTTTGATCACGAACTCTTTGCTTCTTACCAATGAGTTTTCTTTTTCATTTATTATCACATTTTTCCAACAGTTACTTTTGTATAGGCTGCACTTAGCTCTATTCCATTGATTTGTTACTTACCCTTTGCTTGGCTAGAAGATCAACCAACCCATTTGCCAATATATGGATCTATCAATTGAAAATTTACCACCATTCCATTGACAATCTGCCTGCTTTCCCTCATGAGGTGTCTATGCGTCCAAGTCCCTTGTTATTTTTTAACCACCACTATCCTTGAGTCTCTTTGTGCAAATAGATTCTCCACATCTGCTTTGGCCATCCTCAACCCTTGTGGCACCACATTAAACTCAGTTCTCAGGGTGTCACCATGACCTAGAAGCCCTGAATATAATGTTATTATTAGATCCATATTCATTTTTTTTTGATAAACGAGAGTAATTTTATTGAAAGAGTATCAGAAATACATGCAGCCTAGGAAGAGGCACGAGATGTTACCTCCCCCAAGGACTGAATCATAAGCACAAAAACATGCCCAAACCTGAGAAACAAATTAAAAATTAGCCCAAAAAAGATCACCCCTTGACACCC